GATGTGCTTGATCCCGCGCTTCTGCGCTCCGGCCGCCTGGACAGGAAGATCGAGTTCCCGCTCCCCAACGAAGAGGCGCGCGCGCAGATCCTCCGGATCCACAGCCGCAAGATGACGGTGGACGAGGGCGTCAACTGGCCCGAGTTGGCGCGGAGCACGGACGAGTTCGGCGGCGCGCAGTTGAAGGCCGTGTGTGTGGAGGCCGGGATGATTGCGCTGCGGAACGGGATGAACAAGATCAGCCATGAGCACTATGTGGATGCTATTGCGGAGGTGCAGGCCAAGAAGAAGGATACTGTCAACTTCTATGCCTGAGGGAGGTGCGGAAGGGGGAGGGGGGGCGGAGGTATGGCATAGAAGTATGTATTATACAGCCGTGGGACAACGTCCCATCGAGCTAGTCCGGGGATGTACGAGTGCTGGGGGCGTGGCATTATCTGCACCCGTATGGTGTGGCACTGTTATCGCTGGATGAGCATTTGATCTTGCTCCCGGGTCATTGTCGGCACGGGTCCATCGCAGAGTGTTTCCATTGGATAAATACGTGTTGTGGGGATATCAATCCATCATGAGTGCCACTCTTGTTGAGAACGAGGACTCGCCAAAATGGCTCCGTGGCCTAATGGTAAGGCGTTGCTTTCCGGTGATAGGATTGTGGCAAAGATTGTGGGTTCGAGTCCCATCGGGGTCGCTCTGAAGGCATGGTCCTTCGCTTTTGGCGTTCTGGAATTCCATGCACTGCGTTGCGCACTTTTGATTTCCACACATTCACTCCTCAACTGCAGATTGTTGCAGATTACCCAACGCTGGTAAGGTTATATGAACACGCGAGGTAGTACACAGTTGGGCCGCAGCCGCGGCCATTTGTCCGATGAGCGATGAAGAGCGTAGCGTGATTTCCAATGCTGTCTGAGGGATTGTTGACAAGTCCACTCCGCAGTAGCAAAGTACACAATGGCAGACTGACACATGTAGTGCAGCCAGGCGAGCACGAGACGGGTAGTAACCTGACTCGCACTATGGCGGTATGGAGCTCCTGATTTTCAAGCCTCTTGTCTGTTGCAAGAAATTCCTCGCCTCACTCCCACGTCGGACTACATCACTGATTCCATCGCGGACATGATGATACGCGTGGCATGTCGAGGACATTCAGCTAATGTACACCTGCCTGACTACGGCACCACTACTGTTCTCACTTCATCGTACATGGACGATACACGTAGGCAGTCGTTAAACGGTATTATGGATCTACAGGCGCTATCACTCTCAGACCGAAAGCGACTTCTGCTGGTTGATGAGTCACGAGGTATCGATGTAGCCGCGAAATGTCGTAGGCAGAAGTCGTCTATATTTGCGTCGGCGTACGTGCTCCAACACGAGCTAGCGATGCGACACCTCCGCCTCCGATCAGCCGGCAGCATCATGATGAGCCATAGGATTAGTGAGGTGAGGTGAGGGGAAAGCGAGGCGGGCGGTGGGATGGTGCTTCCTTGTGCAGCATGTACAAGCGATGCAAACGGTGAGGCGACACCACACGCTGCAGAGATTTCGTCGCAACGCGGGTGTGCCACCAAACAGAGCGCGGCGGCACACTTTTGATTGAGTTTGTCATCTCCAGCCAAGAAGCTGAGGTCCGGAGGTGCGGTACGGCACAAGCGGCGATCGGCCGCCCGCTTTGAGGACGCTGTGACGAGAGCAAAATCTGCGCTGACCGGCACATCACCTTCCTTTCACCTTCACCCGCCAGCTCATCGTGCTTGTCGGCCCAGTCTTGCGGCCGGACACAGTCGAAGGTCCGCCTGCAAACCCGCTCGGGAGTGTCAGAGAAAAGCTCTCCTGGCCCGAGAAGCCGTCGCCTCCCTAATCTCGGCAACCCGGCTTCAACCGGGCTCTACGCGAGGAGTTGTCGTTGACTCGGGACCTGCGCAGGCACGGCAGGCGACCACTCTCACACTCTTCAACGACTCGTCCGACCGCACCTCGCACCCACTGGCAGGCACCCAGTGAATTAGTGACGGGACGCCAAGTCAGCTCGCGTCTGTCGCCGCCGTAAAACGCTGCGCCTCTCGCATCGGACCCAAGCCACGAACATTCCTCACATCCGGAACAGTAACACCGCAAAAGGTCCTTGCAAGCCGTCAACTTGCTGCGCGTTTCTCGTCAACGTCCGCATCGCTGCTTTACCGCCTGGAGTTCGTCTTTTCACCGCCGAGACGTTTGCGACACCTACGAAACCTACGACTGGCCGCCGCCGACCCAAAACACACATCCTCGGACCTATTCACTTAGCGTACGAGCCTGCATTGTGTACGGAAACACCATATCTCTTGGGACCAGATACGCAAAAAGAGGAAGGCGCATCTCTCACTGAGCGCGTCGAACGTCACTCACACGACAACCTCACCTCATCGGATCAACAAGTCTTACCATCTCAAATCCTTAATTGGACCGCAAGATCTTGCAACGCAAGCAGACAATCAAGACAACATTATCAGCACTCATCGGAACATACATATCACTGCATGAGAGGCTTGTAGCGCACGCGCATCACTGTCCGGTGCGCCGAGGAGCAAGAAACGGTCCGTCATTAAGTTCGGCCAAGCGAGTCGCAGTGACTGACCAGCTTCATACACAGGTCGTGCGCGCACACCATTTCTTCGTCGCTACTTCACACCGCAATCATGCCAGCGTTCTACGCCCCTCGATCCGCAGCGAGCCAAATGCCACTCACGCCGCCAGACTCCGGATCCGGATACGCGTACAGCAACATGTACCCTCACGACCCGTATGCTCCGCATCAGAACTCGAGCCAGCCTCTCCGCGAGAGCGCCTACGACTACCCGCAAAGCTTTCTGCAGCCTCCAGTCGCGCCTGCGCCACCAGCCTACCCGTATTCGCAGAGTAGCTATCAGTCCACGACGAGTCTGCCTTCGATATCGAGCTACTATGAGCCTATTGGAGCGCCGATTCTCCCACCGCTGCAGACCCACAACATGCTGGCCTTCACTGATGATCACGAACGCCGCTTGCAGGGCCACCAGGAATATGTTGCACGAGAGCAACAGCGCCAGGTCGTCAAGGAGGAGAAGGCCACGGGTGGTGTCTCCGCGAAGTTGGACTACGAAATGGAGCGGATGACTGACTTTGTCACCGACGCAACCATGACGATGTATGCTCTTCACCTGTCCCCGATCTGCGTGGCGGATGTTGACGTGACTCGAAGCTTCCATCACAAGATGCAAAGCCCGCAGTCCTTCCGCAAATGGGTGCACCAGGTACTCTCCGCGACCAGACTTCCGTCCTCGACGATCATGCTCAGTCTACACTACCTGAATGACCGGATGGCGCACTTCCCGGAAACGGTGTCGACTAGCGAGAACCAGATCCACCGCTTACTGGCCGTGGCACTCATCCTGGGCAGCAAGTTCCTCGACGACAATACGTTCATCAATCGGTCATGGTCCGATGTCACCGCGATCAAGGTGTCTGAGCTCAATCAGCTGGAAGTGAAGTGGCTACAACTCATCCACTGGCAGCTGCACGTGGACCCCGAAGCATCTCATGGCCTGAAAGCCTGGCTGCACGCATGGAAGGAGTATCAGGAGCAAGGCATCGCGAAGCAGCACACTGCGCGACTCTCGCCGATCGACACCGGCGCCCAACGGCAGCACAACGGCCACAGCGAGCGGTACTCACCATACCCAACACCGCACAGCGCGGCGCCGAGATCCGCGTACGACGCACCTAGCACCACCGCTTACTCCGCTCCACAGTCGCAGTATGCCAGCACGCCGTACACCAATGACCTGTGGGCGGCCAGTGAGCGCCAATGCCAGTCGGCTTACGATGACTACTACAGGCGCAACAGTGAGCGCTATTCCACCTTGCCGGAGCCAAACAGCTACAACCAACGCGCCTCGGTCGAACACTCGCGCCAGTCAGCTTACGCTTACCCGCAAACGGCGCACCCGTCCTACTACCAGGCACCGTCGTACACGTCGGCCTGGGATCAGGGTGCATGGAACGCGGCGCACCGCTACGATTGCCAGTGCTCGGCTTGCGCCTACCAGCAGCACTACCGGCCGTACCCGACTGCGAGCTACGCGCAGACAGTCATGGGTTGAACGGCTTCAAAAGTCACCATACTTCACGGCGCCCTGAACGGACACCTCAGCATACTACGACCTTACCTCCAGCGTTCTCGCATCCAAAAGTTGCCTTCGGAAAAGCGGGAGCCTCCACATCGACATTCAGCGACACACTTTCAACACTTGCACAAAATTGACCTCATTTCATGCCCACTCTTGCTTCACGACACGACAACACACACATCAGACGAGCTCTTCGCTGCGCCATGGCTTCACGGCTGCACAGACTCGCGTGATGGGATAGACCTTGGAGCTTCATAGACCTCATTTCTTGGAAGGACCAAAATTGCGATAGCGTGGAGGACAGCGGGCGCGCGGGACAGCGATTGCTTTTATCAACTGCGATGCATTTAGCAAGGAGTCTCGGGAAAGGGAAGGGGAAGGGGCTTTTAGCATGGACCTGCTGGCTTGTGTTTCATTGCTTGATTGCTTCTTCTGCATGGTGTTCATCAAAAGGGAGGGACTGCTCAGGTTGCTTGTTGCCAGCGGATTTCCAGCGGGGCCAAGAAACAGGATGGCTTTTGGGGTCTGAGGGGCTTTGCTCTTAGACGGTTGGGAGGAAATGAGGATGGCGACTTCATACGCACTCGCTTGTGCTCTCGTCACTGCGCGCTTACACCTGAGAAGTGTGGAGCCTGTGATGGGGAGGGGGCAAAGGTAGCTCGGTTATAATGACACAAAGCTGCTGATTGGCTGGCTCATATTCTTGGACTCTTGACTTCTTGCCACCTTCGACGTTTCGCCTCGCTCAACTTGCATAGATAACGCTCCCGCGCACAGGCAGGGCGGAAACTCGTGTGCAGCTGACAAGTCCAGCGAGCTTCCCAGACCTGCCCACCCAAACCCACAGACCCGTCCATCCCATCGAAGCCTCCATTGGCCCTCCCCTCCACCCCAACCGACTAGGAGATAGCCAGCCCCCAGCCCCAACACCTCATTCGCCTAACGCCCTAATCCCGTCAAACGGGATACCCATTCAGCCCCACCCTCAAATCGCCCCTCAGCGCACTCTGCGCCTCGCTGCCCCATTGCTGCTTCCACCGCAGCTCGTCCCGCCTCGCTTGCTCGAACGCGCGGCGACACTCTGCGGGGAGCTCGTCCAGGACGTCGTCCGGGATGCCGCTCAAGCCGGGAGGGTCGTTGAGTCCGGGGTAGCTGAAGGCGGTGACGGGGGGTGCGGTGAAGTGGGTGTCGATGACGGCGAAGTTGCGGGAGATGAGGGCCGGGATCTGGGAGAACATGGTGGGGGGTGAGGGCGGCAGCTCTTCGACGTCCATGTCGTCGTTTGAGTCGGTGGGGTGGTTGGTGCCGTTGGTGTGTGGCGAGTCGTTCGCGTGGCCGTTAGCCATGGGCCGGCGAGCTGTGGTGTGGGGTGGTGGCGGGATCTGCTCCCATCGGGCGTGTGAGGGCTGCATGATCTGGGGGTAGAAGAGCATGTTGGTGTGGGCATCGTAGACGCCGTCGAGGTTCGCGCGGCGCAGCGCCGTCATGGAGGAGTTGTAACGGCTATGACCGATTAGTGAGATTGCAAGATGATGAAGTA